TTTTTCATCCATAAATCCTCTATAGTTCCAGACTTTTCCAATAAAAACAATAAAACCACCTCTCTATGGCCCATCACGAAAATCCCTCAATGACACAAAATCTTAACAACCCATTTTAATAAATCCCAAAAAATTCTTAAACCCCGAATCCCATCAAAATCACAGCACAAGCACGTACCATTCAATCAATCTACCTAATCTATTTGCATTAAAACATACACACAAACAAATACAGAAAAATACAGTTAAACATGGATCTAAGAATATGACCTGGAGCCGGAGATTTAGATGGTGTTTTCTGGCGATCGTATCTTGGGTTTACCGGTGATGGGATTTTATTCTAAAAAGGAACCGAGGAAAAGAAAACTATGTATGCAAGTAACGGTTAGTGGATTCTAGAGAAGGAAAGGGAATTATGTGAGGGTGGTGGCATGTGCTGCGCACCTGCAAAGGAGCATTGGTCCTTTTTATTTATAGATTTGACTAATTTTCTTTGCATCATTGGGCCAATTAGGGATTGACAAGTAATGGGTCTGAGCTCCAAATTTAAAGGTGAGAGTTTTTTACAATCCCATCTAAAATTAAACTATATAAAAATATTTTAATGCGATGGAAATGATTTAGCTAGTTTATAAATAATTTAAAATTTTAATAAAAAAAATTAATAATTAAATTAAAAAAATCACTTGACTAAACCGTTTTAATATAAAAATTATTATAATATAAATCGATCAATTTAATTATTTAGTTATTATCTCAAGAAAAAAATAATAAGAACATGTGTTTTTATATTTTAAAATATAAAAATTCACTCAAAAATGTTATAAAAAATAATTTATTTTAAGTTTTTATATCTTTAACTAAAAATATTTTTGTGTTTTTTATATAAATTTTTTTATAACAAAGTTATAAAACCTAATTTATGGGTTAATTAATAGCAAGGTTCATATTATAAATTGAAAGGTAAATTCAAGTTAATTAGAATTAATTCTTTAATTTTTTTAAAAAAATTATAAAATTATATTATTTTATAGAAAATATAAAAAAAACTCAATAAATTGATTAATTAGGTGAATGCAAGTAATATCCAAATTACTTTTTTTTCTATAGATAAATCTATTTTTCAAATTTGATTTTTAAATCTAATCAAATTAAAATTTGAAAAATAATAATTTTATATTTGTTTCGAACTTTAAAATTCATTTATTATAAATATTATCCTGAACCGCAATTAACAAAAGGAGAACTAGAAAAAAGGAGAAGACACAAAAAAAAAAAAAAAAGCAAAGCTATCTTCTCCTGTGCAGAGTCTTCTTACCCGACAAAAAACACAAAGAGAACACGTGAGCCAAAACTCCCAACCTTTTCCCTCACATTCCTTTTGTTTTCCAAGCTCTTCTTTATTTAAGTTAACGACAAGGCATACTTAGAGCTTATGGTCAGTTTCATAATTCAATTCTGATTTTTTTTTAAATTACTTTTTTTAAAATGAAAAAAAAAAAAAAGACCGGCTACCTCGTAAGCATAGGTTGAAAAATGTTTTAAATACATGGAAAAATCAAGGTAGAGTTTCAGAGACAAAATTGAAAATTCACTGGTATTTTATTATATCCAAAATTAAAACACAATGTAAATTTAAAGTTAAATAAAATAATTATTGGATAAATATTTATAAAAATTAAATTTGAGAATTTAATTAGATTTTTAATAAGCCAATTTGATTTAATTATAGACCCAATAAAAAATTAATTAAGTTTAAGAATTAATTTGGGTCAAATTAAAAGAATTAATTAAGTATAAGGACTTAATTTGGATCAAATTAAAAGAATTAATTAAGTATATTAAAAGAATTAATTAAGTATAAGGAATTAATTAGACTTTAATAAATCAAAAAATTTATTAAGAATTTAATCAATAAAACATTAAGTTTGAAAATCTAATTTGAAGTTAATTGATAAGATTAAAATTTTAAAGGATAGAATTTACTTTATACAAGCTCAATTAGGTAAAAAAAATAAAATTACAAAAAAATTAAAATTTAAAAGATAATTAGATGTTAAATTGAAGAATTTTAAAATCAATAATCACTTTATAAAAAAACATAAACATAAAAATTTAAGAATGTAATAAAAATAAAAATCAAAGGTGGGATTCAAACAATTAATGCTGATTGATGCTGATTGGAGGTTTCATTACAAAATTTCAAAGATTTAGATATCAAATTAAAATATACCATAATTTCACTATTCATCATCTTCTTCTCATTTAAACAAAAGAAAAGGATGTTCAAGTGCTTTCTTTCCGGTCCTAATTTTTTATTTTTATTTTTTAGAATGTGTGTGATGAAAATGTCTTAACAAATTTTTTATAGTTGTTTTTGCTAATTTATTTATATTTTTTTTTAAATAAATCTTAAATAATTTTTAAAAAAAATCAAAAATCATTTTATAATTTTTTATGGGCCCCTCACATGTTTTCCAATCTTTTTATTTGATATTTGAATTATAAATTTATACTGTAAAATATTGACTTGATATTAAATATATAAGTTTCTTTTCAAAATTTTAGGGAAAAAATAAAAAAGATTGCTTGTTTAAAAAAAATATGTGTGTGTTTTTATTTATATGCACATAACCAAGTTTTTCAAAAAAAAAAAAAACTTGCATAATTTAGCATACTAAAAAAATCACAAAAATAATTTTTTTTATTTTGCATGCATATTAGATTTAATAGCTAATTTATTAAAGTCATGAAAACTTATCCTACATTTCAAAAAATCTCAAAAATCTATTTTGTTCCTTAATATACAAGATTATGAACTTATACATAAAATGTATTACTGATATTGAATAAAAAGATATTTTTTTATTTTTACATTTTAACTTTAAAATGATTAGATTTCAACCTAATAAGATAAAAATCTTCTTATCAAAAAAAACTTTTTTTAAACCTTAAGCAGAAAAATAGTTAGAAAACACAACAATATCTTAGCTTATATTAAACAAATAAATAATGCAACATACATCAGACAAAATGTATTTGAGGTGATATATCTTTCTTATACAAAATTAGTCCCTATA